GTTGGCAAGTCTTAATAAGGGCTTCCGTCTAGCTGCTCTGCAATGATAACCCAATCTGTGGAGAATCTGTTGAACAGATTTCGGGCTCATCCCACCAACTTTGTCCACTTCTGCAGTCGTTAATCTGGGATCCATTTCGATGTTCCTCTTGACAGATAGTACAGCAAAAGCAAAAACTCATTTTATAAGATAGTAATAATAAATAAATTATATGAATAACAAAATTACAAAGTACATAGTAAAAATGTAATCAAAATAAGCAAGTTAAATATTTTGTTAATATTCTAAAAATATGAGCTGTGTCTAAACACAACTAATCACACATGAACTATTTGCTAAACACTCACTATTATGTTATTACATATAATTAGCTTCTCATTATAATTTTTTAGGTTTGTCTGTTTCTACACCTTGTACTACTGTTAACAAAGTTTGTGCCTCAGGAATGAAAGCCATAGCATTTGCAGCACAAAGTCTTATGCTGGGACATCAGGTAAGCATTTGAAATAAGGTTTTTTTCTAACATAATCTAGATAGTCAGAAAATCATGAAATTATGTAAACAAAAAGGAAAAATTTGTGATTTATGTTGTGTTTAATACGTAAAATCTAACCTAAATTCTCAGAAGGAATGTTACCTTTTTATGTTTCTTTTTGTTAAATTATGTTACTTGAAATGGCCTTCATATAAGGTATAATGGTTTAGTAAACAAAGCCAGTATTTACAAAAAGTATATCCAAAATAGAAAAAAAGAACAAATGAGCCTATAGAATAAATAAAGAAGAAAAGCACTACAAGTTTTAAAATGTAAAGTTCCCATTAGCTTATTAAAAAATTCAGAGATGATGTGGAAAACAAAATATAAAGAAATAATAATAGCTGGAGAAGATCACTGAATAACAAGCTAACATTTGATGCAAATACCAATATAAGTTGTTGTTTTCATAACAGTAGAGTTTTCAAGCAAATTGAGCATTTTTGTTATTATAATAATTTTTTTTTACAAAGAAATTAAACTTGACATATCAAAAGAGAACAGATTATAAGTAGAAATCTGTATGATTGTATTTGGCTTATTCGTGTAAGCTATGTTATTTCATATATAGACAATGTTTTCCAAACTGTATTTGTTCATGGACCACCCAAATTGTTTTTTTGTGTGTGTGTGTGGTGTGATAGTCCACATTATGACAGGATAATTTAATAAAACAAAATAAGTGCATAAAATCACTATAATATTATTATTAACCCCAGACCTACCTTTCTAAATTTTAATGCAATGGGTGTACCTGTTTTTATGAACAAAGTTCTATAATTTTGATTGTAATGTTTGCCAGCTACAGCTTCAAACCAGGTTCAGCATTCATTCTGACTGTTTATTTTGACTTCAGTGTTGCAAGTTATAAATCTAATCTTACTAAACTATAAGAAAACAAACTGCTTTATCTGCAAGTTTTGGGAACTCTCCAATCTCTGAATCCAAAACTCTTATCGTGGATTTTTTATAAACTCTTACCTTATTGTTCTGCCAACAAGCACTTCTCTTCTTGAAGAAACTGGCAGGCAAGTCCTTATTTAGTCCTTATGAAAACTCTGAAATAAATAATACATTTTCCCTCTTTAACTTTTCAATATAATTTATACATATTTTACATGCTTGTGTAGTTGAATGTTTCAAGTGTCTGGTTTGCTCCATGATCTACAAACTCTTCCTTTTGGTAATTTTGAAACCTTTCTATGGACCACAGTTTGGGAACCTCCTCACTAAAAGAACAAACTAAGTATTTAATGGTACTAAAGAAGTATAGCAAAGGTTTACTCCTAGTAAGACAACTGGGTAATATACCACATATTGTAGGAATTTGTAATATACCATTTTAGTTAAAATATTTATACTCGTATAGTGATGCTTTGAAATGACTGATCACTTTAGTATGTTTAATAACAGTGTTCTGGAATGAATAAATCCCTATACATAGTTCCTCCATTTGTATTTCATCAGGATTATAGTAAGGCTGTGCTCAACATGAACTTGTGTACATGTCTTTTACATTTAAACATAATTCCTGTCTCCTTAATTTTTAAATCCTAATAATGCAAGCTGAAAAAAAAAGGGTGAATCACTTTTATGAGTTGAAAAGACATCAACTTTTAAAGACAAATGGTAATAATTGTTATATCTAACAGGAAGTCATGGTTGCTGGAGGAATGGAGAGTATGTCCAATGTCCCATATTATCTTCCTCGAGCAGACCCACCTTTCGGAAACATTACTTTAATAGTAAGTATTTTTTTCACAAACTGTTACAAATGTACATAATTACCATCGTATATATATGTACATCTAACTTTGTGAGAATGTAATTGTTTTTTTTTTTCTAGTTGGAAAAAAACTACATGTTACTACATAGTATGAAAGTTGATTTGTTGTAATGATAATAAAACACTTTCTGAGTTGTGGAATTTGACAATCAATTAATTGTTAGGCTCTTTAATTCAACGTATCGATTATTCTTGCATAATATATATTTTCAAAATTTAATTAAACAACTTTATTATCAATGTATATCAATAAACTTGGCACAAAAACGTTGTTTATAATTCGAATTTTTATAGTATCTATTAATTTCAGAAGGAAATATTTAGAAAATTCTCAATCTTCACTTTCAATATACTTTTCTTGACTTACATTGCCCTCTATTGGTGCAAATGTTTGCTTGTCATTAGCCTTAGTACTCCCACTTACCCTCTCATATGTTAACTTGAGACATCTGCATACTAAAGTGCAAATGATTATGCAGCACCCCCTCCACCAACAGGTTACCCCTATCGTAACTAGTACCTTCTCTAATATTGCAGCCCTTAATCACTTCTTGATTGGCAGTTTTACAGTTCAGACGTGTATTCACTGGTGTTTCCAGACTGATGTTTTTGCTTAATTGGCAAAGTTTATAGCTTCATTTTTCGGGCACATATTTTTTTTTAACTGTAATTTTTCAAACTTTTTATGGCTTTGAAACTCCTTTTTGGAGTTAAACTTCTTTTTTTTTCTTCTGTTCCATTCCACTTATCATATACGTGCGATTCCACTTCGATTCTACCTCAGTGCCTACTACAACTGATTTGTCTGCCACTTCAAAGGAGTCTGAGCATGTTATAAGATCAGAATGTAATGGCTGCTTCACCAGGAGTTGACTACATTTTTGCAGACCTCTGTTGATTGTCCTCTGATATCTTGTAATGCTTTGCCTGTACATGATGATGAGGATTTCTAGTTATGACTCACAGTCGATTGTCTATTCAAGAGAGGTGTCCAGGCCTCCTTTCCCTTTTGTAGACCTATTCAATCACGATGATATGTTTAATCATTACCTCACATTTCTTATCAATCTATTCCTTCACTTTTCAGGGACAGGCCATGGGGTCAATTTTAGTGTTTCCTGAACGCCTCGGGTTATTTGAGTTCCCAAGAGTGGTTTTGGGGACCATGTACTTTAGACAACCATGATCTTGTTTGTTGTCATTCTGACTTCCAGGTATTTTGGGGTGTGGGGGCATTCCCATTTCTTGGGAGCACAGGGTTAGGTCAGCCATGTTGCATAACTTTACTTGGCCTTCCTTTTGTTCTCTGTTCCTCCCCTTGTCGGTTATGGTCTTCTGTTTGCTGTTGAGAAGTGATTAAGGGCTGCAAGATTAGAAAAGGCACTACTTCCAATAGGAGTAGAGTCTCACTCCTGTTGGTGGAGGGGTGCTGCATAATCATTTGCATGTTAGTATGCATGAGGGTAAGCCAGAGTATCAAGGCTGGTGGTGAGAAACAATTTGCACCGATTGAGGGCAGTGTAAGTCGAGAAAAGCTTTTTGTGAGAGGTAAGTATCTATCAGAAATACATTTTCAGTTTAGAGAATTGTTACCTTCTTCAAATCACATTATGCATCTGTGCTTTGAATTCTCCACTTTAGATTTCAAATCTTCAATAATTCAGCTTTCAGAGTGACCAATCAATTATAAACACAAGCTATATGTAATTACAAGCAAAAATGTAAAATCTTGAACTTCCTACCCTCTGAATTTCCTGATATAGATTTGTCAAACTAATCAGAGAAGCCCCTTCCTTCTGTCCTATCTTTAGAAGACATTTATTGTTTGTCTATGATGATTGTTATTGAACTCCAAGCAACTAATGACATTTTCTTAACCTATTTATAGCTTACTTAGAAAGCTAAATAAATAACAGTAATTTTGGGACAATATATTCTACTTAATGATGTGTTTTATGTGTTCTATAATACATATTTGAAAGCTACAGGAATAATCTTTTGAACGACCAATTTAGTGAGAAAAATATTATGGTTAAAGTTAAATGTAGATTGGTGTCTAACAGCAAAAGGCCTGGAACCTTGAGTATGTGCAACATTTCTTGTTTTTTATGTATAATTTTTATTTATTGTTATTTATATTTTAATGAAACTAACTAAAATGTAAAAATTAGAAATTTCTTAGGTAGCAAGACTAAAATAATTCAAAATTTAATGAGCTCACAAATGTAACTTGATTGGTTTTGTACTTTTTCTGTGTGTGTGTGGTGGGGGGGGGGATATGTGATTTATTGCTTTTAATGGAGTGATAAACAGCTTCCATGGAACAAAGTATGACAATAAAATAGATATGAAATCGTAAAGGTAAGTAATTTTAAACTCTTGAGTTAGTTATTGATTGAAAGAAGAAGGAAAGGTATTGTTCATTTTATTTCATGTTTTTCAACTTTTCATTTCACTGTACATTGATGATTGGCGTTAGTTAGTTTCAGGGTATAGAAAATAAGTGATAAAATATTGTTTTACAGAAAACAAAACATTTGATATTCATTTAGGAGGTTCTAAAGGTTCTGTAAATGAAATACGAAACTGTATTTTTCTTCTTAACATAAAAACTCTCTTTCACTCAGACTGATTCAGTAAAGGCTTCATAAATTCCCAGACAAATCTTTTGTAAAAAATACTTTATGTAGATAAGACTTGTAATGTTTACTAAAAGCTTTTCAGATTTCTTGGAGATACATCTGGTACATTTATAGTAATAGCATGTTTAGTTTCACAATTTCATGGTGATTACAAGGTCAGTCAAATTGACCCATTTATAGATGGTGAAATAGAATTGGTGAAATTGGCATACAACTAAACACTGTTTTACTACACGTTTTTATGCAAAGTGTTTGAAAGAACATTTTGGAAGGCCAGGTTGATTTAATGTGGTTATAAATTTATTTTTAGTTTGCTAGCTTGTATGTTTTTTATGTTACCAGGACCTCAGACAGAAACTGAAGTTCTTCTACTGTATAATTTCTTTTCCTTACCAAACTAATAGGGTGAAATATATCAGTTTAATGGATATATGTTGAGCATATTTACAGACATGCAACTATTGAAATTATCAGTGTATTTCTTTTTTCTTTTTTTTCCATAGGATGGATGCATGTATGATGGTCTGACTGATGCATACAACAGGGTATTAATGGTATGCTAATTTTTTTGTCATTTGTGTTTATTTCCAATATTAAAGTATGCACTTGGGTAATGTTATTTCCTTACTTATAAATAACAGTTATTATTAAAATTAACTTTTTACAATGTTTTCAAATGTATATTTACAAAAGAATTATTACTGATTTTTAATGTCATTCTTCGAGGTAAAAGATGTTGTAACACTTTGACATTTTTAATATTTTAAATTTATGTGTCAGTTGTTTTAATAATGATTTAGAATTTGATAGTAAAGATATTTTTTATAGTTTTTCAATTAAAGTAATTCATAAAGCATAAGTACACAAGTTGCCAAGAAAGTTTTGAAACTATCAGTTGTAATAATTGTATTTCATTTTGTTAGTTTCACTTCGAATTATTTTTTCATAACCTTCCTTTTAACATTAGGGAGTGTGTGGTGAGAAAACTGCCAAGACTTACAATATCAGCCGACAAGAACAAGATGAATATGCTATAAGTAGTTATAAAAAATCTTTGGCTGCTTTTGAGGTGTGTAGTACAATTAAAATTATGAATTGAAATACATTAATGGTTTATTTAGACTACCTTTTATGCTTCTGTTTTAATAAGGGAAAACATGTAGATTGAAACCCACAAAATAGTAACTACTAGAATAGAAAGTAAAAAATAAGTCTGTTCTTAAATGGAAGTATCAGTCTTGAAACTTTTTAGTATGAAAGCTAAATTACTTTTAACCGGCCCCTCATGAGCTAGTGGGGGACATTTTTGGTTGAAACAAATATACTACTCAATCCGGTTTTTCTTAATTTGAACTGAAATTTTTTGGACATGTTTATTGGCTAAAAAGAAGGCATTTCCCACATCTTTTAGCTTTTAGGCTGCAAAAAGTAATTTGAAGTGGTATGGTGACTGAAATCTGTCAGCGCATCATGAGCTTAACAGCCAGGCACAAGAAGCATGGAAGTCTCCAAATGACGTACAGAGGTATTCAGGAACCATTTAGAGCCACCTTGGTAGATATTGTGCAATATTATGCATGTAGCTGCTTTCAAAGTGTTGATGTCTGCTCATCCTACTGCTGACTATTGTGACGCTTCGACCTTCCCTACCAAATCACAGGTGAAATAAATCATATCTCAGTTGAAAAATAAACATAAAAAGGTGATAGAAGAAGTATAAAGGGGTGGTAATTAGTTAATTAATGATGCTGAGAATGTGGCTTTATTGATATATATACTGAATTTACTCCCAGCGGGTAGACCCTTAGTACTAGCTAGTATGGTGACTTGAGGATTTCACTTTAAAATTTATCAGTTAACAAACAAAAACTTGACTCCACATTATTTTAAAAAGATACATCCAAAACCACCCTCTTTGGGAGTTTCCATATTGAACTTACTTTTAATATTCAACAAATTGTAGTGTAAAGACACCACTTGGCTCCTGAGGGACATGTTAAAAGTATATGAATTTTATTACTGAATAGTTTATAATATTGAAATATTGTTAAGTTTGTAATTAAATCCTTCATTTCTTTAGTAGATTTTATACATTTAAATTACTAGGAAACAAAATGTTGCAAAATTTCATTGTAAATATAATCTTACAATAATTTAAATATAGGTGCGACAACTTATCTAGCTGTATATACTTGTTTTAGATGTAATTATTATTTTAAGAGACTAATGAGAAAGGTTTCATAAAAACATTTTGATTTCATTGATAGGGTCCAAATTTTGTTAAATATACTTAAAATTAGCTTTGTATTTAGGCTGGGGTGTTTGAAAGAGAGATTGTCCATGTTGTCATCCCAGGCAAGAAAGGAAAACCTGATACTGAAGTGAAACAGGATGAAGAATTTACCCGTTGCAATATTGAAAAGTTTCAAAAATTACCTCCTGTATTTCAAAAAGATGGTAGCTTTCAAATGAGAACTTTTAAGACATTATTATAATTGTTTCTTTTTGGTATTCAGATTCCTGATAACTAAAAATTGGTGATAATATTTTGCAAACTTGTGTGTAATAATTTCTAATATTGTTATGTTGAACTTGCAATGCTCTTTTTAAAAAGTAGCTGCCATATAGGTAAAATCTAAAAGAAACCACGCTCTGGCCCATACATATATAAAAAAACCTCAAAACAATTTTTCACATATAGTAGTTGAAATTGTCAGAATGGTCTTCATACTAAAGAAAAATGTATATACATGTTGCACACATTACGTTGTTTGATACATACACCACAGTTATGGAGTCATAGGCTAGTTTTCTGATAGAATTTTGTTTTCAAGAAGTGAAAACTGGGGCCAAGGTGAGATTTCGAACTTTGACATACTTAGTAGGACACAGGTCTGGTTTTGAAAGTAGGTGGATATAAGCACATGCTTAGTATGACTACATCAAGAAATCTTTTCATGTAGCTTTTAGTTTTAATAAAATTTATTATCTCATGATTGTTTAGCACTCTGTGACCAGTTCCTGACCTGAAACTGTGGTGTTGGAGAGTATTTAAATATTTTGTCTTGGTTAACACAGTCACTAAAGCCAGCACTGCTGTGCGGATGATTTTTCAAGTTATGCTGTTGTACAGGGTGTTCATGAAGTCCTTGTGCAACTTTAAATCTTAATAACTTTTGATGTACACATGATTGAAAAAAAAACTGCAAATGGTACATAGAAACATAATTCATAAAGTTGTATTACAATGCACCATTTTTATTTCAGGTCTCTAACTAATGAATATGGCAAAAATAAAAGAAAAAGTTAGATGAGGACTATGGCTAGCTGAACTGAAGTCAATAAGGGGAGAAACTGTAGAACTCATTGGAATAAAGATGCACTTACCTGTGCTAATAGCACCTTCTTTCAACAAGACGGTGCTCCTTGCCACTTTAAGTGTGCGTGAATTTTTGAATGATGTTTTCCCAAAGAGGTGGATCAGTAGACGTGGACAAGTTGCTTGGCCCCTCTTGGTTCCCTGACCTAGCTACATTGAACTTCATTTTATGGGATTATGTAAAAACTACTGTTTATTCATGAAAGCCCAATTTTTTGGAGGAACTTAGAACAAAAATCACAAATCATAACACTACTTGGCAGCAGCAAGAGCATGTTTTTGGAGAGTTAGAAAATCAGCTTGACAAGCGTATTGTTGCAGATGTTACAATTTAGAAAATTAAGCTTTATTATCTTGAAACTTTGTTTCTATCATGCATACATCAAACGTTATTAAAGTTTAATGTAGTACAAGGACTTTATAAACACCCTGTATATGTTTTAAGGAGTGTTTGTCCATCTAGGCTGTCCCATCCAATATGCTAAACCCTAAAATAAAAGTAAACTACTCCAAAGCTAACCCTTATCATCCACATATTTATCAAACCTAACCTAATCCAAGATCCAAAACAATATCCTTCTGTTTATATTTCTATGATAAAAAGTTTGTCACAAAATGTTTTAACTTTTCTTATACGATATTGGTACATTCTGTCTCTCTATACAAGCTTGTGAATTGCAATTGTTTTAACTATTATATGTTCAGTTATTGCCACATATCTGTATATACAAGTTGCACACATAACATTCTGTGATACATGTGCCCCAGTTATGGAATTATATGTTAGTTTTTCTGATATAATTTTTTTCAAAAAGTGAAAACTGGGGCCAAGGTGAGATTATGAACTTTCACACTTAGTAAGCTGCGGATCTGTTTTTAAAAGTAGGTGGATATAAGCACTTGCAATAATGTTTTTCTGTTCTTCCTGCACACAACAACAGTATTATATTTAAAACTTCAGGAATCATTTCAAGCCAGTATACATAAATTAAGTAAATAATTACTTTGGAATTATTCAAGTTTTCATTCTGACATTGCTTGGTACCTGAAGGAATTAAAAATTCTAATGAAATATTCTTTTGCTGTTAGATATAAATAGATTTAGTTTTTATTTAAGTTTTTACTGAATTTGAAGCTCTTTATGTTCTTCTCATTTTGTATATTAAATTTTACTTTATTAATTTTTGTAGTGATAAAAAATCACTCCACTTTTTTGAAAGTTTAAGTAATATGGCCTCTTTTGCTTCTTCAGCTCATAAATCACATATTAAGATAAAAAGTTTTAGATAATATGATGACAAACTAATTTCTTGGTTTTATGTAATGTCATAAGTTATAATTCTAATATAATAATTAAAATCTAGAATGTCTAGCATGTTCAGGAATGTTAGTGATCAAGAGACTTTGCGAAGTGTCTAGAAACTTAAACTACAGATATAAATAGAAGTAGACAATTAGTTCTGAGAGGGTGAATATTGAATAGGTACTGAGTATTTAGTTTTTGGTTGGTAGTGTCAGTCATTGAGTGAACCATCGAGTAGTGTGAATTTAGTTTGACTGAAGTACTTAGGCCAGTGGTATTGACTGTGTATATTCAGTTATTCAATCAAATAATTATGAAATTGTACAAGTAAGTTTATTTTTACATTAGTTCTAGTACCATTAGCAAGTTATTTCTGTTTGAATGTCATTTGTGAACTTAGGTCTACAACTATGTACATGTAAAAGCAGCCTATAGGAAATTTAAAGTAAGAAATAAACTAATTTGTCATCATTACATGGACTGGACTTAAAATTATTTTCACTTAATTAATTTCTTTTAAGTTTGTATGTTAGGCATAGAATGACATTTTAAGGAGAGTAAAGATATAAAAGTTAAACTTTTGCTTAGACTAAATTTGTTGGCTTTTTAGTATGTTTTGTTTTGAATAACTGAACTTATTTAACTAAAACAATACTTTGTACAATTTTTTAGTAACAAGAAAATGTCTTAAGCGAGTAGTAATCACTTTTCATTTCTTGTGTCTTTGAATAAAGTGTTTTTTTATAGGAACCATAACTTTAGCTAATTCAAGTTCCTTAAGTGATGGAGGAGCTGCCTGTGTTCTAATGACTGAACCAGCTATGGAAAAGTTTAAGGTTAAACCTCTTGCAAAAATAATTGGTAAGCATATGATGTTTTTTTATGTATTGGTTTCTTATTATTTTCCAGATATATCTCTAATATTGTTATAAGTTTAAAGAATATAGATGAAGAATGAAATTAGGAATGATGTTTTGGATTCATTATTTTAAAAATTTAACAGTTTTTGTTATTATCATTATTAATAAGAAACATTACATTTCCTGAACACTACTTTTAATGTGTGGGCATTGCTTTGTACACACTGTTGTATCAGATTTTGTATAGTAGCAAAAAATTAAAAAAATATATTCATATATAGCTGGAATGAAGGTGGAAAATGTAATGGTAAGATTTACATAAAACAATTTTTGTTTAATTTTTTTTATTAATTGACAGAAGCTATTAATGCAAATACAGTAAATAAAAATAACTAAGTGCATACATATGTAATGGATATGAATTAACACATAAGCATATTTATCTATTATTTACAAGGCACAAAAAATTAACACATTCTCAAAATGAAACTTAATTTTCCAACTCTAATCTTAGAGTGAAGACAGAAATGCATTAATATAATTCTGAAATAGTACAACCTTCCTCACCCAAAGCTATCTCGTTACTGGTTTGCACTCTAAGCATTGGTAAAAACAGTTCACTAACGGACAACTCGTCTTTTATACCCCTTCATTTTTGTGCCATTTCATGCTGATCATGTGGCTATACTCCACCAATCATAGTGTGCCATCTATACTAGTGCAGCTGGTTCTCTCTAGTATTCTAGCACAATCCCCACTTTCTCGATTGGCATTACAGTGTTTTGACATGTGCTTTAATTCATTTTTCATGTGACTACAAAATTTTGAGTATGCTTGATCACTATGCCTCCATGTAATCTGCTGGGTTGGTATTGTTTTTTTTCCCAGGAGAACTGTGGTAAGTTTTCAGTGTGTGTTCCTGACTCCCAGTAGATATACCCATGTTTAGCAAATTAATGTGTGCTGGACGTAATTTCCACACTCAATAATTTAGGTTTTTCATGTCTTCCCTGCTCAGTAGTTGGTAAGTTAGATTTTACAATTCTTTGACTTGCTTTTAGAGTTTTAATACTACTTTGTTATTGTTTAATTTTCAGTATATGTACTGGTTTTGCATGATCATTACTGCTTTGGTAATTGTACCTTCGGCTAATTTTTTGGTTTGGTGTTTTGGTTTATTTTTCACTGTTTATGTTATTTAGTTTGTAAGTTTCTTTTTCTTTACTACTAGTCACATCTAATTGGGGATTAGATTTAAGTCAAAATTTGTTATTGTTAACTGGGTGCCTTTTTATTCTCATGTTCTTCAGGGGTGGTTTTACTTTGTGTCCTATGTCTTATAGGTTCTTTGAGTGGACTTGTATGTTTTCTTCTTTGAGTAGGAGGTCTTGAACAGACTCGGCAAGACAACTGGACGCAGTATGATCCCGAGGAGGGAAGGAGATTTGAGATGTGGATAGAGTGGGAGCAGAATTGAAGGCAGAAATCTTCAGATAGAACCCGTAGTGTAGCCAATAAAACACAAACTAAAGATACTTAGAGAAAGTACTGAATACTAATGAACTAACTAGTCTACAAAGTACATCAGAATTACCAACCTGCAAAACTATGAAATTCGACCTAAAACATAAAACAATGAGCAACACCTAAAGTAAAAAAACACTGAAGGAACTTAGAAGATAAAAGACCTATAAATATTTTATTGAATGGGTGGTGCCCACTCAACTGGGATTGTACTCCCGTCTATTTATTGTCTTCAAAAACACGGAAGATTGGAGACCCATCATGGATCTGTCCTGGCTGTATACTTATCTAGAGACACCTCGTTTCACCATGGCATCCTATCTTTCATTTCAATGGGTCTTTTTCCCAAGACTTTGGATGACCAATTTTGTTGTGACAGGTGCCTATCTTCATATTCCAATTGTTCCAGTGTCACATCGTTTTCT